GAAACTTACTTGTAGTGTATAAGATGAACTAGATGGACCCATACTTACCCAAACATGGATTGATAGGTTCTCCACATTACTATGAGGACAAACATGAGTGAAACGGTCTCAATCCAAGGGAGGAACATCAAATGGACCAAATTTGGAAACCGGAAGAGGTAAGGAGTCCGAAATGTACCTCTGTGCCTCCACATTGTGGAAACTCATGTAGTGTATAAGATGAAATAGATGGACCCATACTTACCCAAACATGGATTAATAGGTTCTACACATGACTATGAGGACAAACATGAGTGAAACGGTCAATCCAAGGGAGGAACATCAAATGGACCTAATTTGGGAACCAGAAGAGGTAAGGAGTCCGAAATGTACCTCTGTGACTCCACATTGTGAAAACTCACTTGTAGTCTATAAGATGAACTATATGGACCCATACTTACCAAAACATGGATTAATAAGTTCTCCACATTAGTATGTGGAAAAACATGAGTGAAACGGTCTCAATCCAAAGGAGGAACATCGAATGGACCAAATTTGGGAACCGGAGGAGGTAAGGAGTCTGAAATGTACCTATGTGACTCCACATTGTGAAAACTTACTTTTAGTTTATAAGATGAACTATATGGATCCATACTTACCCAAACATGGATTAATAGGTTCTCCACATTATAAGAGGACAACATAGGTGAAACGGTCTCCATCCAAGGGAGACATCAAATGGACCAATTTTGGGAACCGGAAGAGGTAAGGAGTCCGAAATGTACCTCTTGCTCCACTTTTGGTAACTCATTTGTAATGTATAAGATGAACTAGATGGACCCATACTTACCCAAACATGGATTAATAGGTTCTCCATAGTACTAAGAGGACAAACATGAGTGAAACAGTCTCAATCCAAGGGAGGAACATCAAATGGACCAAATTTGGGAATTAGAAGAGGTAAGGAGTCCGAAATGTACCTCTGTGCCTCCACATTTTGGTAACTCCTTTGTAGTGTATAAGATGAACTAGATGGACCCATACTAACCCAAACATGGATTAATAGGTTCTACACATGACTATGAGGACAAACATGAGTGAAACGGTCTCCATCCAAGGGAGGAACATCAACTGGACCAAATTTGGGAACCGGAAGAGGTAAGGAGTCCGAAATGTACCTCTGTGCCTCAACATTTTGGTAACTCATTTGTAGTGTATAAGATGAACTAGATGGACCCATACTAACCCAAACATGGATTAAGAGGTTCTACACATGACTATGAGGACAAAGATGAGTGAAACAGTCTCAATCCAAGGGAGGAACATCAAATGGACCAAATTTGGGAATTAGAAGAGGTAAGGAGTCCGAAATGTACCTCTGTGCCTCCACATTTTGGTAACTCCTTTGTAGTATATAAGATAAACTAGATGGACCCATACTAACCCAAACATGGATTAAGAGGTTCTACACATGACTATGAGGACAAACATGAGTGAAACGGTCTCAATCCAAGGGAGGCACATCAAATGGACCAAATTTGGGAACCGGAAGAGGTAAGGAGTTCGAAATGTAACTCTGTGCCTCCACATTGTGGAAACTCACTTGTAGTTTATAAGATGAACTATATGGACCCATACTTACCCAAACATGGATTAATAGGTTTTCCACATTACTATGCGGACAAACATGAGTGAAACGATCGAATGGACCAAATTTGGGAACCGGAAGAGGTAAGGAGTCCGAAATGTACCTATGTGACTCCACATTGTGAAAACTCATTTGTAGTGTATAAGATAACTAGATGGACCCATACTTACCCAAACATGGATTAATAGGTTCTACACATGACTATGAGGACAAACATGAGTGAAACGGTCTCAATCCAAGGGAGGAACATCAATGGACAAAATTTGGGAACCGGAAGAGGTAAGGAGTCCGAAATGTACCTCTGTGACTCCACATTGGAACTCATTTGTAGTGTATAACATGAACTAGATGGACCCATACTAACCCAAACATGGATTAATAGGTTCTCCACATTACTATGAGGACAAACATGAGTGAAACGGTCTTAATCCAAGGGAGGAACATCAAATGGACCTAATTTGGGAACCGGAAGAGGTAAGGAGTCCGAAATGTACCTCTGTGGCTCCACATTGTGGAAACTCACTTGTAGTGTATAAAGATGAACTAGATGGACCCATACTTACCCAAACATGGATTAATAGGTTCTTCCACATTACTATGAGGACAAACATGACTGAAACGGTCTCAATCCAAGGGAGGAATCAAATGGACCTAATTTGGGAACCGAAAGAGGTAAGGAGTCCGAAATGTACATTTGTGACTCCACATTGTTGAAACTCACTTGTAATGTATAAGATGAACTAGATGGACCCATACTTACCCAAACATGGATTAATAGGTTCTCCACATTACTATGAGGACTAACATAAATGAAACGGTCTCAATCCAAGGGAGCAATATCAAATGGACCTAATTTGGGAACCTGAAGAGGTAAGGAGTCCGAAATGTACCTCTGTGCCTCCACATTGTGGAAAACTCACTTGTATAGTGTATAAGATGAACTAGATGGACCCATACTTACCCAAACATGGATAATAGGTTCTCCACATACTATGAGGACAAACATGAGTGAAACGGTCTCAATCCAAGGGAGGAACATCAAATGGACCAAATTGGGAACCGGAAGAGGTAAGGAGTCCGAAATGTACCTCTGTGACTCCACATTGTGGAAACTCATTTGTAGTGTATAAGATGAACTAGATGGACCCATACTTACCCAAACATGGATTAATAGGTTCTCCACATTACTATGAGGACAAACATGAGTGAAACGGTCTCAATCCAAGGGAGGAACATCAAATGGACCAAATTTGGGAACCGGAAGAGGTAAGGAGTCCGAAATGTACTTTTGTGCCTCCACATTGTTGAAACTCACTTGTAGTGTATAAGATGAACTAGATGGACCCATACTTACCCAAACATGGATTAATAGGTTCTCCACATTACTATGAGGACAAACATGAGTGAAACGGTCTCAATCCAAGGGAGGAACATCAAATGGACCTAATTTGGGAACCGGAAGAGGTAAGGAGTCCGAAATGTACCTTCTGTGACTCCACATTGTGACTATAAGGACAAACATGAGTAAACGGTCTCAATCCAAGAGAGGAACATCAAATGGACCAAATTTGGGAACCGGAAGAGGTAAGGAGTCCGAAATGTACCTATGTGACTCCACATTTGTAAACTCACTTTTAGTGTATAAGATGAACTAGATGGACCCATACTTACCCAAACATGGATTAATAGGTTCTCCACATTACTATGAGGACAAACATGAGTGAAACAGTCTCAATCCAAGGGAGGAACATCAAATGGACCAAATTTGGGAACCGGAAGAGGTAAGGAGTCCGAAATGTACCTCTGTGCCTCCACATTTGGAAACTCACTTGTAGTGTATAAGATGAACTAGATGGACCCATACTTACCCAAACATGGATTAATAGGTTCTACACATGACTATGAGGACAAACATGAGTGAAACGGTCTCAATCCAAGGGAGGAACATCAAATGGACCTAATTTGGGAACCGGAAGAGGTAAGGAGTCCGAAATGTACCTCTGTGCTCCACATTGTGGAAACTCACTTGTAGTGTATAAGATGAACTAGATGGACCCATACTTACCCAAACATGGATTAATAGGTTCTCCACATTACTATGAGGACAAACATGAGTGAAACGGTCTCAATCCAAGGGAGGAACATCAAATGGACCAAATTTGGGAACCGGAAGAGGTAAGGAGTCCGAAATGTACCTCTGTGCCTCGACATTGTGGAAACTCACTTGTAGTGTATAAGATGAACTAGATGGACCCATACTTACCCAAACATGGATTAATAGCTTCTACACATGACTATGAGGACAAACATGAGTGAAACGGTCTCAATCCAAGGGAGGAACATCAAATGGACCAAATTTGGGAACCGGAAGAGGTAAGGAGTCTGAAATGTACCTATGTGATTCCACATTGTGAAAACTCACTTTTAGTTTTTAAGATGAACTATATGGACCCATACTTATCCAAACATGGATTAATAGGTTCTCCACCTTACTAAGAGGACAAACATGAGTGAAACGGTCTCAATCCAAGGGAGGAACATCAAATGGACCAAATTTGGGAACCAGAAGAGATAAGGAGTCCGAAATGTACCTCTGTGCCTCAACATTCACTACAAGAAATATGGGCATTGATAGCAGACGATTAACGCTATAATATATATTTTATAGCGTTTTCATAAACGCTGTGTTAGCCGAAACTATGGTAGGTCACGACCATATGATAACACTTTTTTCATGTGCTATTAAAAGTTTTTCTATTATAGCGTTATTATAGCGTTAAGATAGTGCTGTAATATACTTTGTCATAGCGCATTTATGTGTTGTAGTATATATTGTTATAACTCATTTTGAATGCTATTAGATTAGATATCGTAGCATTCTTGTGGTGCTGTATTAATATTATTTATAGCAAATTGACTAGGCTATGATGTATTGTTTTGTATAAGCTTGATGTAGCAGTAATAATTAATGTAGTCTCTTATTTGATGTGATTACATATTAAATTTGTAGTGCATAATAGTAACAGAACCTTTTAGCATAGATTTCTATAAGCCTGAATCCTCAACATATATTACAAGTCTCAATTCATGTTTTAATAAACTAAAAATATAATCCAATTTCTATTACTTCGCTCAACTCTCGCATGATGAATGCGCTTGTTGCTTGCTGTTTTATTACTACTCTCTTCAGCTTCATCTGGTATCATGAAAAGTACATTGTCAATCATTCACTGCTTGCAAAAATCAAAAACGCCAACAAAATGATTTTCCTCATAAACATAACTTTTCCAAATTAAACTTGGCAGTGGTAGTAAAATAACAAGCACCTGTCTAAACGTAGCAACAGATTGGTTGCTCTTCCTCTTACTGAAATTTAGTATGGACACTTTTGAACCTGAAAACCAACAGAAGACAGTTATGTAAAGCACAAAGCTTTGGTATAGATTGCACTATATAAAGCTATACGAGGTTTCCGAAAATAACCCAAGTCTGATGCTTATGTTGCTAAGAAACACAAGACTTAACTAATTTTTCTATGACAAAAGAGAACTATGCAACAAATAAAAATCATCAAAACGGCTAACATCATTAGCCATCTTTTTCTTGTAAGGATGAAAACACCAAGTAATGAAGAAAAAATATACAAGTTATAGTTGAAGTTATCACCTTAATTTGAGTTGAAGCTGAAAAAGCTTTGAACCAGACATATCCAAAATTTTCAAACAAGAGCAAATTGCCCGTCCCTGTTTCTTTGTAGCAAATGGCTACAGAAAACAAAACCACATAATTAAGATTATGAAAGCAAAAGAGGATCAAGCCTATGCAGTAGAGACGGTAATGTAGAAGTAAAACATGCTCAACAATTTCATCTATCAAAAGTGTTCAGTTATGCAAAGCCAAAAACACAGACCTCTAACAATAAGAAAGCACATCACGTTAAAAGAAAAAAGGTTCAGTTACGGACACAAACGAGCAATGCAATGGACAGCAAACCTAAAGCACATCGGGTAAGAGTTCAGTTATGCAAAGCCAAAAACACAAACCTCTAACAATAAGAAAGTCTGATTCACGTGGGAAGAGACACAAGCAGTGAGGCGCGTTATACCCTTCTCTTACTAGACCAGTATACCGATAGTTTTGATGAGTAGGTTATCTTCAAGCTTTAGCAGCAGCTGTAAGATCGAACAAATCAGATATATAAGATCCCGGAACTAAAACATCAACTATACAAGACCTAGCAAAACTAATCAGACAAACAAAGCAAAATCAGTCAAGTGCCATTCAAAAACTACATTCCCATATACAATAGATCTTAGATCCTGTAAGTGTTCATCTCCTGCAAAATCAAGTGAGCATTAAGCTTTAACAAACGTTGGTTTCCTCAGTTTGCTAATTCAGCAATTCTGTAAATGTAACACATACATATATGTGAGATAAACGGTCTCTCTTGAAGCAAAACAAAGTCACAATGTTTAATTTTCCCAAGAAAAATCATTCACTACCATCTATGACTGACTGCTCTGAAAAAACGAAGAACTTTGAGAAACCTGAAAATTCAAATCAAGACAAACAAGAGGTTACCAGAATCATCAAACGACACGACATTGTAAATAAAAGTCTCACTTAGGCGTTTCGTCGAACATGTTCTAGGCATTAGATAAAACATACTAGTTTGAAACATACTAGGTCTCTTTGGTCCCTCCGCAGCTCTGGTTTCTCGTGAAGTTTGATAAAGTGCCCCTGCAGAATCAGCATAATCCTATGGACCAAAGAGAGATACAGATCTGGGCACAGAAGCAAAATCCGCCATCAAATCTAATCCAAGGAAAAGATTCTGAAGGCTAAAGCTTGAAAAATGCCGCAACCACTCCTCTTCTTCCAGATCTACAACCCACACCTCAAGATCCCTTCCGTCACCATGGAACAGACTCTGTAACGAAGCAAAAACCATAGGAAGTTATCGCTGACAAAATAACGAAAAAGGAACGATTGAAGGGCTAGGCAATTGAAACAGTAATGTTTGTTTCGATTAATCCTAACTTCCATAGAAGAGACGCTTCGAGTGAGAAAAGAAAAAACGAGAGAGATTTTTGTCGATTATTGTTTGTGAAAATAACGAAGAAAGAACCCTTTCTATCTGGTTTAACACTTAGGCGGAAAACTAAAAAATTTTGGCAAATGTTGCCGCTTATTATAATTTTAGGCTCCAAAGCTAAATTTAGCTTCCTCCGTGCTCGTTTTTATTCTCAGCGGTTAAAAAATGCTATCATATGTCAATCAATTTACTAAACTGGTTTTGATAGCAATTACGCTATCAATGCCCATACCTTGTGTGATTTGGAAACTCACTTGTAGTGTATAAGATGAACTAGATGGACCCATACTTACCCAAACATGGATTAATAGGTTCTACACATGACTATGAGGACAAACATGAGTGAAACGGTCTCAATCCAAGGGAGGAACATCAAATGGACCAAATTTGGGAACCGGAAGAGGTAAGGAGTCCGAAATGTACCTCTGTGACTCCACATTGTGGAAACTCACTTGTAGTGTATAAGATGAACTAGATGGACCCATACTTACCCAAACATGGATTAATAGGTTCTCACATTACTATGAGGACAAACATGAGTGAAACGGTCTCAATCCAAGGGAGGAACATCAAATGGACCTAATTTGGGAACCGGAAGAGGTAAGGAGTCCGAAATGTACCTCTGTGACTCCACATTGTGGAAACTCACTTGTAGTGTATAAGATGAACTAGATGGACCCATACTTACCCAAACATGGATTAATAGGTTCTCCACATTACTATGAGGACAAACATGAGTGAAACGGTCTCAATCCAAGGGAGGAACATCAAATGGACCAAATTTGGGAACCGGAAGAGGTAAGGAGTCCGAAATGTACCTCTGTGCCTCCACATTGTGGAAACTCACTTGTAGTGTATAAGATGAACTAGATGGACCCATACTTACCCAAACATGGATTAATAGGTTCTACACATGACTATGAGGACAAACATGAGTGAAACGGTCTCAATCCAAGGGAGGAACATCAAATGGACCAAATTTGGGAACCGGAAGAGGTAAGGAGTCCGAAATGTACCTCTGTGACTCCACATTGTGGAAACTCACTTGTAGTGTATAAGATGAACTAGATGGACCCATACTTACCCAAACATGGATTAATAGGTTCTACACATGACTATGAGGACAAACATGAGTGAAACGGTCTCAATCCAAGGGAGGAACATCAAATGGACCAAATTTGGGAACCGGAAGAGGTAAGGAGTCCGAAATGTACCTCTGTGACTCCACATTGTGGAAACTCACTTGTAGTGTATAAGATGAACTAGATGGACCCATACTTACCCAAACATGGATTAATAGGTTCTACACATGACTATGAGGACAAACATGAGTGAAACGGTCTCAATCCAAGGGAGGAACATCAAATGGACCAAATTTGGGAACCGGAAGAGGTAAGGAGTCCGAAATGTACCTCTGTGACTCCACATTGTGGAAACTCACTTGTAGTGTATAAGATGAACTAGATGGACCCATACTTACCCAAACATGGATTAATAGGTTCTCCACATTACTATGAGGACAAACATGAGTGAAACGGTCTCAATCCAAGGGAGGAACATCAAATGGACCAAATTTGGGAACCGGAAGAGGTAAGGAGTCCGAAATGTACCTCTGTGACTCCACATTGTGGAAACTCACTTGTAGTGTATAAGATGAACTAGATGGACCCATACTTACCCAAACATGGATTAATAGGTTCTCCACATTACTATGAGGACAAACATGAGTGAAACGGTCTCAATCCAAGGGAGGAACATCAAATGGACCAAATTTGGGAACCGGAAGAGGTAAGGAGTCCGAAATGTACCTCTGTGACTCCACATTGTGGAAACTCACTTGTAGTGTATAAGATGAACTAGATGGACCCATACTTACCCAAACATGGATTAATAGGTTCTACACATTACTATGAGGACAAACATGAGTGAAACGGTCTCAATCCAAGGGAGGAACATCAAATGGACCAAATTTGGGAACCGGAAGAGGTAAGGAGTCCGAAATGTACCTCTGTGACTCCACATTGTGGAAACTCACTTGTAGTGTATAAGATGAACTAGATGGACCCATACTTACCCAAACATGGATTAATAGGTTCTACACATGACTATGAGGACAAACATGAGTGAAACGGTCTCAATCCAAGGGAGGAACATCAAATGGACCAAATTTGGGAACCGGAAGAGGTAAGGAGTCCGAAATGTACCTCTGTGACTCCACATTGTGGAAACTCACTTGTAGTGTATAAGATGAACTAGATGGACCCATACTTACCCAAACATGGATTAATAGGTTCTCCACATGACTATGAGGACAAACATGAGTGAAACGGTCTCAATCCAAGGGAGGAACATCAAATGGACCAAATTTGGGAACCGGAAGAGGTAAGGAGTCCGAAATGTACCTCTGTGACTCCACATTGTGGAAACTCACTTGTAGTGTATAAGATGAACTAGATGGACCCATACTTACCCAAACATGGATTAATAGGTTCTCCACATACTATGAGGACAAACATGAGTGAAACGGTCTCAATCCAAGGGAGGAACATCAAATGGACCAAATTTGGGAACCGGAAGAGGTAAGGAGTCCGAAATGTACCTCTGTGACTCCACATTGTGGAAACTCACTTGTAGTGTATAAGATGAACTAGATGGACCCATACTTACCCAAACATGGATTAATAGGTTCTCCACATTACTATGAGGACAAACATGAGTGAAACGGTCTCAATCCAAGGGAGGAACATCAAATGGACCAAATTTGGGAACCGGAAGAGGTAAGGAGTCCGAAATGTACCTCTGTGACTCCACATTGTGGAAACTCACTTGTAGTGTATAAGATGAACTAGATGGACCCATACTTACCCAAACATGGATTAATAGGTTCTCCACATTACTATGAGGACAAACATGAGTGAAACGGTCTCAATCCAAGGGAGGAACATCAAATGGACCAAATTTGGGAACCGGAAGAGGTAAGGAGTCCGAAATGTACCTCTGTGACTCCACATTGTGGAAACTCACTTGTAGTGTATAAGATGAACTAGATGGACCCATACTTACCCAAACATGGATTAATAGGTTCTCCACATTACTATGAGGACAAACATGAGTGAAACGGTCTCAATCCAAGGGAGGAACATCAAATGGACCAAATTTGGGAACCGGAAGAGGTAAGGAGTCCGAAATGTACCTCTGTGACTCCACATTGTGGAAACTCACTTGTAGTGTATAAGATGAACTAGATGGACCCATACTTACCCAAACATGGATTAATAGGTTCTCCACATTACTATGAGGACAAACATGAGTGAAACGGTCTCAATCCAAGGGAGGAACATCAAATGGACCTAATTTGGGAACCGGAAGAGGTAAGGAGTCCGAAATGTACCTCTGTGACTCCACATTGTGGAAACTCACTTGTAGTGTATAAGATGAACTAGATGGACCCATACTTACCCAAACATGGATTAATAGGTTCTCCACATGACTATGAGGACAAACATGAGTGAAACGGTCTCAATCCAAGGGAGGAACATCAAATGGACCAAATTTGGGAACCGGAAGAGGTAAGGAGTCCGAAATGTACCTCTGTGACTCCACATTGTGGAAACTCACTTGTAGTGTATAAGATGAACTAGATGGACCCATACTTACCCAAACATGGATTAATAGGTTCTCCACATTACTATGAGGACAAACATGAGTGAAACGGTCTCAATCCAAGGGAGGAACATCAAATGGACCAAATTTGGGAACCGGAAGAGGTAAGGAGTCCGAAATGTACCTCTGTGACTCCACATTGTGGAAACTCACTTGTAGTGTATAAGATGAACTAGATGGACCCATACTTACCCAAACATGGATTAATAGGTTCTCCACATGACTATGAGGACAAACATGAGTGAAACGGTCTCAATCCAAGGGAGGAACATCAAATGGACCAAATTTGGGAACCGGAAGAGGTAAGGAGTCCGAAATGTACCTCTGTGACTCCACATTGTGGAAACTCACTTGTAGTGTATAAGATGAACTAGATGGACCCATACTTACCCAAACATGGATTAATAGGTTCTCCACATTACTATGAGGACAAACATGAGTGAAACGGTCTCAATCCAAGGGAGGAACATCAAATGGACCTAATTTGGGAACCGGAAGAGGTAAGGAGTCCGAAATGTACCTCTGTGCCTCCACATTGTGGAAACTCACTTGTAGTGTATAAGATGAACTAGATGGACCCATACTTACCCAAACATGGATTAATAGGTTCTCCACATTACTATGAGGACAAACATGAGTGAAACGGTCTCAATCCAAGGGAGGAACATCAAATGGACCAAATTTGGGAACCGGAAGAGGTAAGGAGTCCGAAATGTACCTCTGTGCCTCCACATTGTGGAAACTCACTTGTAGTGTATAAGATGAACTAGATGGACCCATACTTACCCAAACATGGATTAATAGGTTCTCCACATTACTATGAGGACAAACATGAGTGAAACGGTCTCAATCCAAGGGAGGAACATCAAATGGACCAAATTTGGGAACCGGAAGAGGTAAGGAGTCCGAAATGTACCTCTGTGCCTCCACATTGTGGAAACTCACTTGTAGTGTATAAGATGAACTAGATGGACCCATACTTACCCAAACATGGATT